TATTGCGGTATTGCATTTGCTCTCGGAGAGCCTCAATTAGTGAAGTGGAACTGATGCTGGAGGCCACCGATGGCCACCGGAATTACTCAATGATAATGATTTCACGGGTTGTGATTCGATTACTTAATAAGATTGCTTAGCAATTTACATGGTGAAGTACCAGGAGAATTCTTCAACAACGTCCCTTCATCGGGAAAAATAATATTTTGTAAAAGGTGTTGAGCAGATTACATGACGCCGTTATAGATACTCGTAGTTAGATAATTGTTGAATTGATCCACTCAAAGTAGTGCAAAATAAAATAAAATAAATAAAAAACCGCCAAAAGATTTTATAACATATTCTAAATATAAACAGTAGAATATATTTGCAACGTATTCGTATTATACGTATTATTATATTCGTGTTGAATGTTAGTTTGGGGTTCAATTATTGGAAAATCCGTTAGGTCGCGGAACTGTTAGGCCTTGATCCATTTGCATTACGTTGCCGTGTCGCTCTGCGTTTCGTCAATTACTGGTATAGTCTGTTTGATATTGTTTTTCAATGTACGCTTTTAACAAAATATGACTGCACAATTTTTCAGTGACTAAACGAATGGTTTAAAAAATAATTGAAAAAAAAACAAAATGGTTTTCTTGAAGAGAAGGATAGCATGGCATTCAGTAAAAGAGGGGAGTCTAAATAAGTGAAAATATGATAATTTTAAAGAAGAATCCCTTAATCTGTAAAATCGTATATACATGCATATCTGCTTGTAAACAATATTTATAAAATATAGAACTATTGATACTTTTCTTAAAAATATCTTTCAGAGTTATTGTCTAAGCTAGCGAAGTATCAACACACATTTATTATAAAATTTTTCGGTTTTGGGTTTTTCAAGGCTCGGTGATAGATGTGCCATAAGTTAAATATTCCACAAGACTTTTTTTGTATAAACCTGTAGTCTTTTTCGGTTCACTATCGACAGTCTCCGAGTTCGCCTTTCGTTCTACAGTTTCAATGCCCATGAGATTGTTATGCTCGTGCATAAGGAATAAAATAAATTATATATACAATAGATGAATGACAAAATGAATATATTCATTTTCTCATTCATCTATTGTAAAGTGTAAGGAAGAAGAAGTGTAAGGGCTCCTTGTAACTTTTTGTGGAATTTCTTGCTTTTTGTACTAGAGGTCTGTAATTTTGCAGGGAGGCAAGTTATAGACAAGACACGTAACAATAGTAAAGATTTTGCTGTAGGGAGGTTTAAGAGCTCTAGTATGTTAATACGAAAGTCCTTAGTTTTGTACCAGATACTTAACATTTGGAGGTATAAACTGGGAGGTAGTTTATGGCTAAGACCTCATCATCACATCAACAGCCTATAATAATCCACTACTGGATATAGGCCTCTCCTTAGAAAGGAGGTTTTGGCCTACTATACCTCGCTGGCCAGACGGGTTGGTATAGGGTTTGTGTCAAGTTCGAGTCGATTTCCCCCCCGGGCTGGGTGCAATTTGTTACGCAGACGATACTCTGGTTACAGCCCGGGGGGCGAACTTCCAAGAGGCGGCGCGCCTGGCCACAAGGGGAGCCTCCCTGGTGGTCGGGCGCATTGAGGCGCTGGGCTTACGGGTGGCCCTAGATAAGACGGAGGCTCTGTTATTTCATGGGCCCCGTCGTGGTCTACCCCCTGGCGCCTCAATCGTGGTCAACTCGGTCCTCGTACCGGCAGGACGAGCACTTCCGACAGCTTGCTCCAAAGCTGGTCGGCGCTGCGTCTGCCCTAGGGCGACTTTTGCCCAATTTGGGTGGACCCAGCGTCGCGACAAGACGGCTGTACACGGGGGTTGTCCGGTCAATGGCACTTTACGGTGCACCGGTGTGGGCGGCGGCTCTGACCGCCCAGAATAGGGCACGCCTCTGGCGCCCTCAGAGGGTAATGGCGGTCAGAGCCATACGCGGTTACCGCACCGTTTCGACGGAGGTGGCGTGCGCGTTGGCCGGAACTCCCCCGTGGGATTTGGAGGCGGAAGTTTATCGGCGAGTGGCTGACTCCCGGGCGGAGAGCGGATTTCGCCCTCCACCCGGGAGTGGCGCGAGTTGCGCGAAGCCGCTCGCCGAGCCACGATGGCTCGTTGGTCGTTCCGGCTGGAGACTCCACGCGCTGGCTTCGCCGCCGTGGAGGCTCTCCAGCCGGTCATCGCCGAGTGGGCAGGGCGGCAGCACGGGACCCTTACCTTCCGGCTGACGCAGGTGCTTTCCGGGCACGGTTGCTTCAGAAAGTACCTGCACTCGGTCGCTAGGAGGGATCTGAGTCCCGCCTGCCACCACTGCGACTGCAGTGAGGACTCGGCCCAGCACACGCTGGCGGTCTGCCCCGCATGGGCGACGCAGCACCGGGCCGTCACTGCAGTCATCGGAGTGGATCTCTCGCTACCGGCCGTAGTACGCTCCATGGCCGGTAGCCACAGTTGTTTTACCGCGGTCGCAACCTTCTGCGAGGAAGTAATCTCGCAGAAGGAGGCGGCGGAGAAGGCCCGGGAGGACGACCTCCACTCGGACCCGATCCGCCGCCGGCGAACCGGGCGGCGGAGGCGCGCTTATCAACGCCTCATGCCGCCCTGAGTGTGGCCGCGGGTGGACGGGGTGGGTTTCCCCTCCACCCGCATTAGTTTGGCCAGCCGCGAGGGGGCGGCGTCCGCGTGTGAAATAACCAACTTTTAAAAGTCTGCAAATTGACTATCAATTAATTAAGTTCTGGCAATTTACGAATAAAATTTAATAAAATTTACGAATAAAAGTTTTCAAAATGGTTTTTCTTGCAACACATGTTCCAAAGTGAAGGATTTTATTTAAAAATACATATATGTTAAGCGTATGAAGTCGCAAGTAACTGCTTGTTGCGTGTGCATTGTGAACAGGTTAAAAATACCAGCTTCAAGAGATGTGGAGGTTTTGAAACACTGTATACCTATCTTCTATATTGAATGATATATTACATTAATAGGTTTATTATTTATTATATTTTCATGATGAGTGTCTAAAGGCGCAAGCACTAAAATCGAGTAAAACGAGAAATGTCATTTTCGGTTCAATATATTTTACTGATATTACGAACCGAAGCGTTTATTTTAATTGTTATTAATCATTGCTATAATACTTACATAGATGAGTAATTACCGCCTAAAATCGTTGCTACTGCACATCTGTCCACAGGCATATGCGTAGCAAACGTCAATTCAGTGTTCAATGTGGCGTCAACCGAGTTGAACATAGCGACACATGACAGTAACAATCGCCAAAATGGGTAAATGTGTAGTGAAAGAATGCGATTCAAGGTCACAAAACCATAATAAATCATGCGGAATTACTTATCACGTGTAAGTTTATGGTTTTTGTATTGATAATATCGTAAATAAGGCTATAATTGAAATAAAACATTGATAATTGTAATTTAGAATCAGTGTTACCATTAAAAAATAATTTTTGTTTTCCCACATTAGTGGGAGAATTTATAATTTATGAAATAATATGCTTTATACTGTTATTAAACATTTTGTCAATAATAATAAAATATAGGAAGAACGGTAGTTGTTAGGGCTGAATCGATCACTTTTTTTAGGGACCCGTTGAACGTTCACCTTCTGCCAAGCTCGCAGTGCTGGAGACTTTTGTATAAAAGAATTAATTAATTCATTCATTTATTTTTCTTAATTAATTATCAAATATAAATAACAATTGTACAAAAAAAAATATATATATAAAATAAAAAAGTAAATAAATATAAATAAAAAAATATAAAAAACAAAAATGTATATATATATATATATATATTTTATATATTTTTTTTTATTTGTATTTTAAAATATTAAAAGAATTTGCAATACACCCTGGGGATTATTTATTATCAGTACAAGTTGATCATTCACTTTTACTATTAAATGCCATTATTTATACATAGGTAAAAATAAGATTGTATCATGAAAGTAAAATATTCACACAAACTTATAAAAAAGAGTCTAAAAGACAATTGTATACAAAACTGATGCTTCATAGCGGAGTTTGATTTTACACTGAATATAAACCCTTTTAACCAAATATTTCTAGTTATTTTAGTATTTATACCTATTCCATTCAATTCGAAATATATTATTTAAAATACTTAAATTAATTTATTTTATTACAAAATTGTTTAAAAAAAAAATTGTTTCTTGGTTGTAATGGGTAAAATTTCATACGGTAGTCAACACTGGCCCACCATCGTAAAGTTATGTCATTGTCTTTGTCTAATCCGAGCGATGGTATTGTTCTTGTCTCGCGTGTAAATGAGACATAAATATGTTTACTTACAAATGTTTAGTGGTATCAAAGCTACGTCGTGAAAGTTCAAAAGTGGTTACACTTTTTTCGACGTGTGATAATGAGGTTTGCTTCTCTAGTGTTGTTTTAACTCAATGTTATTAATAGACATTTATTAACACGGTGTGTACGGTCATCGATAATACGCGTATAAATTAATACTGCCTTGAATTATTATGCAGAACTACACCGCTACCGTCGATCGCGGACTAAAATTAATCCTGTTCGTCCATATTTGGCGTGTTTGCTTATGCGGTTCCTTAATTTATTCCTCTTTTAAAGTTCCTTCCAGCCGGGAGTGGCCGCATAGAAAGTTTATCTTCGGCAAACATCTTTTATCGGTGATCAAGATACTTCCAAAGAGTTAACTTTTGTGGCTTCTTGGGAAATAAGTATAAGGATCTCCGTATTAAAGTTTTAACATAAATGAAATCCAATAACAAGTTTTAGCATTTCTATAAAAAGACGTTTATAGAAAAACTTATCACAGTTAGCGATAAGTTTTATCTTTTCGATATTGCCGTTTTGGATAATGCTGGCTCTTTAAAACCGATTAAAATTATGCTGCCCTTTACAGTTGTGACTATGTGTGTACGATTGCTTGTGACTAATTCACGCCTGATGGAACGTCATTAATGCGCCCTCTTAACCTAGATTTCGCAGTTGCCAGATGAGTGTTCAGCGGGACCAATGTTTGGGGCACGAATGTTAGTGGCGCTTGGCCCACCGCGGCAGGTCGAGCGCCCAAGCGCACCGCGTGTTTCTGTGACGCAAGCGCGCGTGACCATGACATCAGTTCTTCGGCGCCAGTGTCGCGACACCTTTGATGGATTGTCCGAGACGATTTCCATTTCAGTACAACTACAAAGAAAACGGATATACTGTAGATAGATACGTCAGTTGGTAGCAAATGAATCACTTCATTCGTAAGGTGTGACGTTGGTAAAGTAAACGTCTGCATACAATTTTTTTTAGAATGTTAGCATTTGATTCACTTAAAGTTGCGAGAACTGCATAAATAAAGTTGCGTATAAACAGTGTGTTTGAATGAGTTTTGCTCTACTTATTTACATTTTTTAAAACAAATCATCGCATTATTTGAGATAATAATGAATTTAGCAAATATAATCACACTTTAAGCGTTGTGAGTTATTAAGTACCTCTTGGTTGAATGATGTTGTATATGAGGGGTGTTAAATCGTCACAACACGCCACTAGTAGTGCTGAGCAATAGTTCTTAGCACTACTAGTGGCCTGTGGCGTTTAACAAATCTGCAGTTTAACTGTCACAGTTTTTTTAGTAATATACGTCAAAGAAAAAAAAATATTTTTCCTATTATTAACCATCTACTTCGGCCCATTTTGTTTAGTTAACTACAATTTTAGTAATTGAAATTATAAAACAATTTATCAACTAAACACAAACAGTAAAAAAAGTATAAAATAAAGGATGTAAGCTCTAAAAAAATTTATTAAGAAAAATTGCGGCTATTTTCATAAAAATCTTAAAAGTCCAATATTTTGAAAATGGTTTGGTTTGGGATATAGTATTTCATAGTGGTATCTATCAGAAATGATGGCAACTACAACCCGTTCTAGTATTTAGGTCGACTTACCAAGTAACCCTGTGTATATATGTATTTCTATACAAATAAATAAAATTGAAGTCTGTTTGTAATGTCAAAATAATAGGTTTTTTAATGCTCACACGGTTATTTGCCTATGCCTAAAAACCATTTTTTTTGTCTTTCTGTCTGTCTGTCTGTTCCGGTTAATCTTCTAAACTGCTGGACCGATTTTGGTAATATTTTACTACCAGGTAGCTGTCTATATAAGGAGTAACTCAGGGTATCTTTCCTCTCAGAAAAACCTTTTAAAATTTTGCCGATCCGGGTATCGAACCCACCAAGGCAGCGCTTTTCAAATTCCACGCGAACGAAGTTGCGGGTACCAGCTAGTATATATAAATTGTAGGGCAATTTGAGGGCCCTGTTGGTCAGTGGCCCTGACAGCTAAGCCGGAGGTCGTGGGTTCGATTCCCACCAAGGACAAATATCGTGTGATGAGGACGGTCATTTCTTCTGTGTCTGGGTGTAATTTATCTATAATATGTATCTATTTAAAAATATATAAGAATGGTTAACTGAGATCAAATTAATAGGTACTTTTCATCTAGGCGTCCACTGACACTGTCGGTTTCGTTTTTTATTTTAACCTGTTACAATAGTTGAACATTCGTAGTAATTAAACATTAGTAGATGCAGAACATTTTTGCCTTTTTGCGGGACATGGGACATCACTTTGTATGATACAAAAATTGTTGTTTTGAGTTTGGGTGGTATTTGTATCCGTTTCATGATGTTTTAAAGTCCCCTGCGACACAGGATATATTGAGACCATCAAGGGAGTTGTCTTTTTTAAACAGAAGTGAAAGAGAACAGCTTCTAAACTTTAGTAAAAATTCACTGTAAACAATTTTCTGAATAAGTAAAAAATGTTTACGTCAAGTTACAGACAATAATATATATTTAAATTAATGTATTTTTTTAATTAATTAAAAAATAAAAGAACAGTGAACAGCACTGTGATTGTTGAAAGTCATTTCATTATTAAGATTGAATTTTTAAGTTGTTGATGTCCATTCGTACGTGTGTCCGTACGTATATTCGTACGTGTGTCCGTACGTATATTCGTACGTACGAAAATGTATGCTTAATAAACATGTGTTTGGATTGATAACTTTTTTTCTATTGTTTAAAGAAATTCGTGAATGCGGACGAGGCGAGTCATTGTTCAAGAGATAATATCATGTACAATAATCGCTTTTCTATATTCAATTATCCGACTGTCTGCCGATAACAATTAGTGCAGTTAATCAAGTTCCCACTGTATGTTAAAATGTTATGATAGTAGCTATTATTTGACAGCTGTTGTTTTTATGTTGATACGTCTCGTTTTTTTTATAAAAAAAACAGTAGCCTATTGCTTAATGTCAAGTCTGTCAACTGTCGATCCGCTTGTTGTTTTTGGACGAAGTAACTGTTATTTTATGTGCCTGTGGTATAAATGGTATTTAGATTGGGTACGCTCCTAAAGTAATATAAATGCTTTCTAATGTAGTAAGTGATAATGTAGAAAATGAGGAAATTGGCTACAATACGTCGGGAAAATTGTCATAATAGGATGAGTACTATAGGTGTGGCACCCATAGGAGTGTCTGTATGTCTTAAACAGTTAAACTCCGCTAAGTATCGAAGTGAAATAGAGTTTAATATTTTTTACGATATACCAATGCATAAAATGGTTTAAGTTTTGTCAATGTACAGTTCGATACCAATACCATACCGTACCATACAAAGGGGCCGATCTTCTTCATGAATTTCAAAAGACATTTATAGACTTGACTTTCAAAAGACTACCTGCTACGCTTATTAATTAATTACTAGAGATCGCATGGCACATTTTGACTGTTTTTAAAGTCTTGTTTTATTTAATTCAAAATCTATCAAATGACTGTTAAAGTTATACTGAAACTTAATTGTCATTGTATAGATTGTTGTACCCATAGAAATCGTAATAATAAGACACTATTATTACGATTTCTGTGGTTTTACCATGAAAGGTAATTGTACCCTATAGGTTTACTCGTATGTAGCTGTTTTTAAATAATTTTTTTATCTTTATAGCACAAATTTAGGGCAAACAATATTGTTTTAAAATGTCTGCTATCTGCACTTCTAAATTCTTTTTCTCGTGTTAATTTATAGATAGTTATTAGTTAAAATGGAAAAGGCGGCTGGGATTTAAAATTTACGCATTTTTAGTCATAATATCGTGTTAGTATCTCTATGTAGGGGCACCTCAGTACCAGCTTCTCCCTCTGGACCGCATCCAACGAAGAGTGACTCGAATCGTCGATAGCCCAACATCTCCGATCGGCTCGATCCCTTGGCGTTACGTAAAGATGTGGTTTCACTCTGCATTCTCTAGAGAGATGTGGATGGAGAGTGCTCCTAGGAATTGTTGCGATTAATACCAGCCACAACTTTCCGCCATCGGTAAAACAAGGTAATGTTAACATTATTTTGTTTGTGGAAGTGTTATGAGATATATGTTTTTAAGTAGGTAATTATTTTAGCATTTAATTGTAACTAACGAAATGCTGGAATATTGATCATTAAATTAAATTACAGATTTTAATTTGTAGCGTTAAGTTATAACTGGAAGTCACGTTTGAATTGCCGACTGGGGCAGTATACCATATATAAATCATACAGAACCATCAATGTCTAAATTCTATCCTGTATTTGCATCTCTTTGTGAGGGTTTCCAGACCCTGGACTCTGGACATCGATCAGTTAGAAAAAGGGATTTGTATGCTATTTGCTAACGAAATTTTTCATGAAAGATTTGATTGAAGCATATGGTATTATCAATAGTCACAATGTCACCCTGGGGGATTTAAAAAAAAATACATAGCACTTGTTAGTTCATTTCTTGTGAACTTTTTATACAAACGCTAGCCAGCAATGGACTAGTTGCTTGTTTACTCACCTAATAAGACATGTGTCGAGTATGTATTTTTAAAACTGACTTAGTAAATTTTTTCAGACTACCTAGGTACTTAGATTTAGACAAGAGATTACACTTATTGAATACACCACAAACATTTTAAGCGTTATTAGTACCGTTTTCAGGATGTAACCAAACTCGTGAACGATGTGTATTTGTCGACAATATACCATTCAAGAAAATTTGTAAATTAGTAGAAACACTATAGAGAGATTGAAAATCGTAATCAAACGTGACAACATGGTTGAAATTGGAGTGTAGCTAAGCTACAGCTACAGTATCTGTGCCGTTAACCCAAGTTAAGTAGTCGAATAGCAAATGACTTGAAAGAAATTAATAAACATATAATCAACAAAAAAAAAAAGGAACAAGTAAACCGACAAAGAGATCTTCTACGCACTTCGCACGTAGTTACGGAAGAAACTTGTTGAATATTTTAATAACATAATATATTATGTATCGATTTTTTCGTTTTAGTATTAAAATTCTCAATACAAAAGTATGAAACTGTACTGTGTTGTTTCAAGAGTAGATGTTTTATGGTTGTGGTAATGATGATGATAGATTTACGTGCAAGTGTTCATATATGGCAGCAACTTAACTGGCTCAAGGTCATTGTCACCTTAACACGCTAAGATAAGTAAGCGTATTATTTTTCTTAGTTTTCGCTGTTGATCTATGCTTTTATCAGTAAACCGTAGGAAATAAAGAGGCTTGACATGACCATTTTAACTCACAGTAGTATTGTTTTGTATTTAAATAAATTACCAAATTATTTAACAGATAGTTGTGTTTGTTTGTGTTGTGTGTATTGTATTTTGAGCTTATTTGAAACATTTAGAATTGTTAGGACATATTTAAGTTTTATGACAGTTGGATACCTACCATGTTTTAAAGTAGAAGTCATCCAAGACAAGCCACTAATGTCCTGAACATACAATCACATGAATTTGTATTACAAATCATATTATATTTTTTGTTTACTTCATAATTAAATTAAAACCAAATTAAATTTCTGATTCGTTCGATTCCCGCTCAGGACTAATTTTGTGTGATGAGCACGATCATTTCTTCTGTGTTTGGGTGTAATTTATCAATACAATTTTTTTTTTTGAAATATATAAGTCTATATGTATGTTTATCAGCAGTCTGGTTACCATAGTAGAGGCTCATGCCTAATTTGGAATCAGACTGCCGTGTGTGAGATGTGTAAAGTTATTATTATTTAAAAGTATAAGTAATTATGTAATGTTGTATACATTAAATAAAATATCTTTAT